TTWAAAAAAAAAGAAACTGCCATTTCTGTTTTAGACATCAAAGTTTTGTATATTCAGATATATTTATTTATATTTACTTATGTAAATAAAATAATGTTTTATTTACATAAGTATATGTAAATAAATAAATATATACACACACATACACACACACATACTCACACACACATAAATAAATAAATATTATATACAAATGGCAGTTTCTTAACAGTTATCCACAACCTGCATAATGGCAGTAGTCCTTATGTATTTGCATGTTTCTGAATATACAAAACTATGATATCTAGCCAATAGCAGTTAAAAATGTCCCTTTCCATCCAAATAAGTTTATGTGCCACTTTTCTACAATAGAAGTAACGCAKCTTAAAGAAGGGATTTTTTCCCCTTAATTTGTCCAAAAGCATCATGTAGCATTCCTGAGTGTGTGATCCACAGTAGGGATAGTGAGGAGAGCTATTATATCTTTACACCCTTAATTTCAAGACCTACATTTGGGATGGGAATGGGGTAGCACAGGGAAGAAGAGTGTAAATACTTGGTTGTTAGTGGTAATAATAAAATACTAAAAATCTTGCTTTTGAAAACAATATTAAGATAGCATGCTTTGAGTGAAGAGAGATTTAGTATGGATGATTCGAGTTAGCAAAGCCTTTATTTTCAAATTTGGTACTCTTGAGTGTCCAGAACATCCCCAGGTTCTCAAATGGCACCAAATGTCTTAGGCTGCACTTGATGGCCAGAATGGCAAGGTTGTTGACCAAAAGAAAGGCATCAGGTGACCAGCTGGTGGTATCTGTGAGATTTTCATTTAAAGTGGGGAAGAGCACACACATCCAAAGGCAGCAGACTGGAGAATTCWGTCTTGAAGGTGGTGTTGGGTAGAGTGTGTGTGTGTGAGTCAAACAACCCCGAGAGTCCAGAAAATTGCTTATCTAAGATGCGTTATTCCCAAATAATTTAGAGTAATATAGGTTTCAGTGCAGTAAACAACAACAAAATGTTAATAAATCCTTTCCACAAGACAMAAATTTAAAAAAATAAGCAACCATTATTCTGAAATCATCCATTAGCCCTATGAATCTATGATAGGACTAAAATTTGTTTATTTTGATTCCTTGGCTTACACATTATAGAAGACTGAGTGAAGAGCCATGAAATAAAAGGAATTTATGGCCAAGAAGATGCCTTGTATAAGATATTTACTCTTATAACATGCAGTATACTCTGACATATTCTCTTTAATTGTGTTTCATTTTTTTCAAAATAGTGGCTGGTATCCACTGAATTGATTTGAAGGCCCAGAATGGTCAGACAGGTTCTTAGTTTGAGACACTATACCCTAGGGTAAGCTCTTGTGGGTCTGGCTACCTACACTGCACTTTATCCCGTGGTATATAGTGAGAACAATGTATTCTAGTGGATCCTGGTTATCTTTTATTACAAAGTCTGTTCATTTGCTATTGGACAATACCCTCCTATTAACTTATTTTTCTTACTTTCCTCTACTCTTTTTCCAACATATTACTACATGGGAGTTTCTGAAACTATGGTTGAGAACTCTGAGCAGGTCTTGCTGTAATTGCAGGCTACAGACAGGCAAGGGCAGGAGTGAGCATATCATGGTCCAACTGCTACATACAACCTTGACACAATTGTCAAAAATAACACACCCAGAACATCACCCTTAACATTAGCTGACAGGTATTAAAGTTTTGGTTAGACTGTCTTCACTTAAYTATAATCATGTCTTCCTTTTTCCATGTGTACTTGTAAGACTTTTTTTCCACCCATAGTCTCAAAGTAAAGGCTCTAAGGGAAAACCAACCAACCAACCAACCATCCAGAATGTTCTTTTTGGTGTGTTAATTCGGCAGATGTTTCTTCCTTATCTTGTGTTTTCTTAGTGTTGGCTTGTGACATGAAGATGGACATACCCAAAGTGCCAAGAAGAGTGTCTTACTTATCACCACTTTGTAAGCTTCTCCTAGTTATGGTTTTTGTTTTGTTTTCTCTTAAAAATAATTTGTGGTAAAAAAATAACATGTAACATAAAATTTACCATCCTAACCATTTTTAAATGTATAGTTCAGTGGTGTTAAGTACGTTCTCATTGTTGTACAACCYGTCTCCAGAACTTCTTTTTTCAAAATGGAAATCTCATACTCATTGAATAACTCCTCATTTCCTCCTTCCAGTGACCAGTCTTTATAATACGGTGCTTTTCTTCCTATTTGACCTCTTTGTTACAGGTAGCAAAACCTTTGTGGATTATATATTTCTCAGGTGAAGAGCTTTAGCATTATCTTCTTATATACTAACTAAAAATTTGTACTTTCTATTTCCTTAATAGATACTTATCTGATAGCATTTTCCCTCTATTATACTGACATGATGCATGTTTAGTTTGATTTATGGTGTTCCTGCTCTCACTCTGGGATTTCAGAAAAAACATGGAAAGGATGTCCAGAGGTCATATGCAGTACTTTTCCTGCCAGAGAAAATAAAAACAAACTGCTCTACAGTTAGAAGTAACAATAATTGCCTCAATATTTCACTTTTAAATGGGCCGGGGGACTCACACATTCTTTTAACTGAGCACTGAATTGTAATTACAAACATTTTTATAGTGTAGGAAATAGAACTGTACCCAGGAATGGCCTTACCAAACCTGTGAGATCTTCTATGTGAGGAAGTCCTATTACAAGAGGAATTTCAGAGTGCCCTCTTTTTTTTTCTTTCCTTTCTTATTCTTTTTTTTCTTTCTTTTTTTTGTAGTTGTAGATGGACAGAATGCTTTTATTTTATTTGTTTTATATTTATGTGGTGCTGAGGATCGAACCCAGTGCCTCACATATGCTAGGCAAGCGCTCTGTTGCTGAGCTACAACTCCAACCCAGCCCTTTTCTTATTCTATATAGATAAGGGAATTTTAAAGATTATGATTATACATTTTTAACAATTTACTCACTAATCTTTCCCCCTCAAGTGATATTTTGTGTCTGTTCTGCCAGATATTGCCAACTTACTCTCTGCCTTTGTCTTTATTGATCTAATGAACACTTCATTTATAGTGACAATTGTATCCCATTGATCATCTCTGACAGTTTCTCTGTTGCTTTGGTTTATGTAAGTGAAAGCCAGACATCTCTTCCCTAAGTGAGAATCATGCTCCCCGCTGGCCAGCTGTTGTCTCGTGACTGAAAAGTGACTTTAGTCTAGGAAAACAACATAATCCATCCTTGTTATTTCTCTTGCTCAGACGTTAGAAATGGGGATGAAGGCCCTGGCCTCTTGTACTCTCACCCCTCTAAGGAGAGTGTAAAACCAAAGGAAGTGCTTGAGTGCTATGCAGAATCATTTGTGGTAGAGTTTGTTTTTAAAGATTTGTTTATTTTGAGGGGCTGAGCTGTGGCTCAGTAGCACAGCACTTGCCTAGCACATGTGAGGCACTGGGTTCAATCCTCAGTACCACATACAAAAATAAGCAAATAAAATAAAGGTATGCTGTCCATCTACAACTATAATTAAAAAAAAAGATTTATTTATTTTGAGACGGGATCTTTCTATGTCCAACAGGCTGGCCACAAATGATCCTCTTGCCTCAGTCCAAGTGATTCTCCTGTCAGCTTCCTGAGTAGTTGAGACTACAGCTGTACAGTTGTACAACTGCACCCACCAAAAATTTTAAAAATGATAATGTTGATACTTCTTGATGACTTGTTTAAACATTATTATACACAGTGATTTAGGTGCCTTTATTTTCTTCTTGGTATTTAGGTAATTATTGAAAGTTTGARTATGCTTTGGAGACAAAAAGAGAAAGACAGAAGAGAGTCCTTGTAACAAACAAGGCTACCTGCACTGTGGGAATCTGGGCAACATAGAAGACAGGGTTAACTTAATCTAGGGCCATACTTCTTCATTTCTGGAAGTTCTTTACATTCATGAACTGGAGCTGAACAGGGTCTTGAGATCAGTTGAGTGGTTCTTTCTTTTTTTTTTTTTTTACTGAAGACTCCCTATGTCTTATATATTTCCATATACATATACTCCTACCTCTGATAAAACATACTGGCTCACGTGCTAATCAAAAATTAGCATTTTATAGCATTATTATCACTAGATTGTGAGTTTGGTTAGGCAGAGATTTTCATCTGTCTTATTGATCACAAACTATGTTACCAACACCTAGAACCATGATCAGCATTTAGAGATGCTTAATAAATAKTAGTTGAATTAATCATGCTTATTATGGACCAGTCACTGAACTGTTTTGTATACATAATTTGATAACAAGCTGCTTATATCTACTAAGTACTTATATCTGTATATCTACTAATTTGTTTTTCTGTTAAAAGCTTAAATATATGAATTATTGCCATTCACAGTTACAGAGCAAGAGCTGATATGATGTCTAAACCAATTACATTTTAGTCTATAGCTGCTATTTCATGTGCTGTTATTTTGGAAATATTAAAAAGTAATGAGCTCTCAGAGGTCAGAGGACTTCAGTTACAGATCACATACTCATTATGGTAWCTTTATGTTACATAGAAGAAAATTTAGATCCAGAGAGGTTTAGGTGAGTTGCATAGGGTCACGCAGCTTCTCTGTAGAAGAGCCAGGACTCTGACTGTGGTACCTGGACTYAGTCCAGGACTGAGGGACAATGGCAAATCTAGAACCTCTGATGGATGCTTTTTCAAGTTTGTGGTTGTGTGGTTAGGAAACTTGGATTGCACCTATCTATTTTTACTGCACTCATTGAAAATCTAACTACTGGTGCCAGTTGAATGAATCATTCTCTAMCCCAGAATCCAGAATTTAATCTACTCTTCTAAAGCTCCTTATATTCATTTAGCAGAGAAGAGTAGGGATTACATGTAATAGGTGATGTGAATAATATATAGCTTCAAGTATTGTTCACTGTTCCTCTTATACTCTGTGCTGTGAATGAGGCAGTGATAGAGAAGAAGTACTGATTCTATACTCTGGGATCCCCCATCACTAGACATTAAAGTCACACTTCCTTCCTCCTGGTTAGAGACCTGCCACTGCTGCCATCTCTCTACACCATGTGATCTTATACGTTCTGTCATTGCCTCAAGGATGATCTTAAGTTTGTAACATCGGGCCCTTGGATTCTATTAAAGTCAGAAATATGATGTTCCCAACTTGTATGTAATTAATATTTTAAACCATTCTTATATATTTCAGAGAATATATCATACTGGGTAAAACAATTCCTTATTGCCTTCTCTGTACATAGATATATATGTAGAAGACACTTTAGAAAGACTAGATATGAAAATATTATTGTATTTTTGTCTACGAAGTGGTATAATTTGTTATTTTAAGTTTCTTTTTCTTTCACAGTGACAAAGTATTCATCAGACTTGTTTATTCATGCAATGAATAAGTTTTCTTTTTATAATGAATGAGCATTTTTATAGTCAGCACATAAACATGTACGAATCTTAAATTAATACTGCCTAACATGTAAGGCTTCTAATTTTCTCACCCTCTGAATTTGTTCTGTGATCTCATAGTCCTTTTAGCATCGGGCATTTCTCCCAGCAGCAGAGCTGAAGCCCTTCTGTGCCTAATAGCAGGATGGTTCTGGAAACTGACAGGAAATATTTGCAGGAGGGGGAGAACCCCAAAGGTAACAGGGAAGATGGACAGGCCTGGCTTTCCTCCAGAGGCAGCTGTGATGGGAGGCTTTATTTTTGAGCCTGACATAGGAATTCTAGTGGTCTAATCAAAACATGAATGGCACCATGAGGCAAATCCAAATGGCTCCTAACTTGCTTGTCACTGCTTGTCATTCACCACTGACAAAGCCGCCCCTGATAGTACAGAAACTTGAGTGCCCACTCTATTTATCTCATTTTCCTTGTATTATAAATAACATCAAAAGATGAGAACATTTTAAGAATTGACAGATATGATTGGTGCATCTGAAAAGTTCACATTTTCTTTTTGCCTTTTTTGGATAATAGGGAAGGAAAGAGAGAAGAAATGTACGCTTATGGGTGGGAACTTGGGCATCAGCTTCCATTGAGTGAACATTTGACCATCATCCTTTGTCTGTGTAAATGTTTTATCTGGACATTATTGGTACAGAGAATTTCTTTTTCATAAACATAATCCTATACTTTTATTTTTACTAAAAACAATAAATGTGAAGAGGGTGTTCATTTCCAACTCTTGTCCCTCAGTCTCCTGTATTTGTGAAGTGTTCTGCAGACTACCTTTGGTCCCAGTCTCTTGGGACCAGCAAGGAGAGGACACCCAATGCATGTACTTCACCTGAGCCTGTAGCACTGTCTCTTGTTCCTTCAGCACTTTGGCCTGAAGTTTCCACTCTGCTGCCTGGTTCAGTAACTGTGAGAAGAAAGAATGCATGGAAAGAATGTCAAATTGTTTTTAAAATTATCCTTTAACTGTAATTTGTATATAAAATTTAATTTCTGTCTTATTAACTCTTTCATGTTTTTGAAACTTTGTAAAAAATCTAAGAAAGCTAAAAGAACATGCTAGATAGATTGTTTTTCAATTAAAAACTAGTGGTTTGGGGCTGGGGGTGTGGCTCAAGTGGTAGCGCGCTCGCTTGGCATGCGTGTGGCCTGGGTTCGATCCTCAGCACCACATGCAAACAAAGATGTTGTATCCACCAAAAACTAAACAATAAATATTAAAATTCTTTCTTTCTCTCTCTCTCTCTCTCTCTCTCTCTCTCTCTCTCTCTCTCTCTCTGTCTTTAAAAAAAAACTAGTGGTTTTAATTAAAAAAAAAAGGGGGGGTCTAACTCAAGCATGAATCACAAAAAAATTCAGCCTCCCCTCAAATTCTGGAAGCTTTTCTAACAATCCTTTCCAACTATTACTAATCTCTGCTTGAGAATCTCCAGAACCATCCCACCTGGGCAGTGTTGCCAGTAACTGTTCCTTTGTATAAACTGAGAGTAATTTTCCTGGACCCTGTATCCCACTACAGCATGCATGATCCAGTATGAAATATATACTTGGTCTTTGTCCCTGGAGAGCTTGTAACATGCATCCAAATGTCCTAGAGAACATGTGAAAGGGGTATTCTTTCTCAGAGAATATGATTTAGGAAGTATAGGGTGTGACTCTAATCTGTACTACAGCAAATACCCAACATGGTTTGGATATTGGTAGTCCATGGATTACATTTTAAGAAACAGAAGTTGGAGCTATTATTCTAAATCCTGCCTTCTGGGGGTTTACATGATCAGAAGTCTTATCACTCTTAAGAGAATATGGATTTCTGATTTGAAGTTATCCAATGACCACAAGGTTATGTTCTTCAAAATTTATCATTTTTGGTCATGTTTGATAATTGAAGTTATTTAAAAATTATAATTCTAACAAAATGAATTATCTTAAACTTCCTTCTTTCCCCCACAATGATACATGTTTTAATTCATACATTTGAAACATCTCTGACTATGATACACTGTTACAGAGACTTGGGCTTTTTGGGACAGCTGCAGGTTAATTTGAAACATATCTTTGTCACTTAGTAGCATGTGCCCTTAACAAGTTGCATATTCTCTYTGAGATTCAATTCTCTCATCTGTAGAATGATCTTACAGCTTTTGGGGAATACTTGGGGTTACTAAGATCAGTAAACACCACCATTCAGTTTTCCAACTTCAAATTATGGAGTTATCTTTGACTTTCCCCATTTCTCACTGTCATGATCTTCAGGTCAGCAGCATTGACTGTTTATTTTTCACTGAAACAACTTTTACCATTTCCATTCTTTGTCTTGGCTGCTTCCTCCCTAATCTAAGTCATCATGTATCTCATTTAGATGCTTTCTTACTCCTCTGTAGTTCATTTTCTACCCAGGAGCCAAATTAATTATTTACAGATGCAAAGCAGACCATGTCACCCCCTACTTGCCCATTATATATTTTCCAAGCTGTACAAAACTACACAATTTGACCCTTGTTTATCTCTGCAACTTCATTTCCAACCTTTCTCCCACTTATTCAACATTCTCTTGCTTCCCTGACCTTTTCCTATTTCTGGGGTATGCTAGGCTGGTTCCAGCAGTAGGGTCTTGTTAATGCTGCAGACACTGTTGCTGGAGATTATTCCACATGGTGGCTTCTACCAGGCTGGGCTTGACTCAAGCATCTGGTGCCTCGTCCTAATAACTCAGTCTAAAGTAGGCCCCCTCTTTTCACCCCTCTCCTTTTCTCCTTATTTTCCTAATAGTACTTAACTATTATCTGAAATTACCCTTCCTTGTTCATTTGCTTGTTTACTGCATGTCTTATCCCAGTCAGACTCTAATCTGCATGATGGGAGATGGCCCTTGTCTGTCTTGTTCACAGCTATATCTCAGCACCTAATATTATGCTCAGCAGATAATAGGCACTTGAAAAATATTTGCTGAGTATTTGTTGAGTGACTAGTTCATGTGAATAATAATGCAGATATGGTGCCTCTTACTGGGCTAACCCATTTAGTTCTCCATCGAAGCCCAGGCTCTTCATCAGTCYAGAGCTCTTTGACCATTATCAAAACAACTTTCCTAGAAAGTCTCAGATATCAAGGTAGACCAGATATGCACACCAACTAAAAGGATAAGTACATATTCCTTTTCTCGTTTATGTTGCTCCTCTGCTTCCTTCATCATTTCTTGTGCCTGCTCAAGTTTTGCATCCACCAGCTTCTGCTGCAGTTCTCTGTGTTTAAATATTTTGTCCAGATGCTGAGCAAAAATAAAGTACATAAAGAAAGCTTGGTTTATTATTGGTGCTTAAAAATGGAAAATAGAAAAAATAATTCACATGAATACTTATTCTTTAGATTATACTGTTTTTAAAAAGGGGGACTAAATCACTAGCATCACTTAGAACTTTATATGTTAAGTGGTGAAGGCCCCCAACATTTGACACTACACAAAGGTAGCTGCAAAAGTAAGGGGGTCAGAGTTCAGCAGTGTTAATGATTAAAGTTCTCAACATTATTTTTCTGAATCTGGTAACTAATTGACATGATATTTATTATGCTAGGCAGCAAAGATAATGATCTGTACTACAAAGGCTACAGCATATTAGTTGGAATTTTGACTCTTTCTATGAATATAAAATCTTTAACCACACCATAATAGTGCAGTTTATCATGGCGAATTCTCCACATTCTTGCATTCTTGTCTCAAGGGTTGTAAAAATGTGGTGGGACACCAACATGTGGTCCTAGGTCTGGGAGTGAGGCCCAGGCCTCCTGAATTCTGCTCTGTTGCTGGTGGTGTTATAGTTTGGACCTGAAGTGTCCCCCAAAGACCCATGTGTTAAAGTTATAGTGCCTAGCTTGGTGCTGTTGAGAAGTTGTAGAAAATTAAAGTGGGGTCTAGTGGGCGGTCTTCCARTCATTTGGGGCATCTTCTTGAAGGGATAGTGAGACCTCATCCCTTCTGCTTTCTCTCTCTTTTGCTTCCTGGCAAACCACGAAGTGAGTGGCTCTGTTCCACTATACACTCCTCACCATGATGATGAGCTGCCTCTCCACAGGCCCAGAAGCAATGGGGTCATTTGATTATGGACTGAAACCTCTAAAACTATAAACTTTTCTCTTTATAAGATAATTATCTCAGGCATTTGTTATAGTAATAGAAAACTAACTAACACAGGTGGGGATGGCAAGGCCAAGGGTCACAGATGAATTGATATGTAGATGTTTACTGCCCTCCATACCTTTTGATTTCTGGACTTGCTAGATAAAGAGAAGCTTTCAATTCTACCTCAGTGAGATGTGAAATTCTGGCCTTGGACTTTACATAGAACCAATCCCAGGATTATACAGATTATACCAGACCATTCCTATCTGTGGTCTCTATGAAGAGTATGGATATTTCCCCTTCATTCTTTTCCTTCTTCTTCAGCCTGAACCTCTATTATGGAGCAGAATTATTCTTTGTGATAAGATAAAATGGTAGCATGGAATTTTGGCTTATTAAGGAATTTCCTGATTACCTAACTGCTGCAACCATATGCTACTGGCTGGTTTTTTCCTTGAAAAAAATCTTAGCATGTGGTTAACAGAGAGCCATTTTGACTATGTTATGTTACATTTTAAGGCAGAGATATAAAATTTGGTTGGAGTGGGGAAAGGAATATTATCRTACTCTTGAGAGGAAATCTGAGTCTTAAAAACATTAAACATTAAAATATAATTTTGGGTTAACAAAAGATTCTTATTGCCTTTCTAATGTAAATTACTGAAATTCAAAGTCTTGGCTTTTGTGACAAGAAGGAATTTAATCTGTTTTCCATACATAAAATGTAGAAAATATATTATTTTCTAGTGCATAAGAAATTTGAGATAATTAAATGACATGTTATGTTCAAAGTACAGTACTTAGCACACTTCCTGATATAAACTAAGCACCAAATGAATATTATAATTATTAATATTATTTTTGGCTTGTGTGATATGTAAACTGTAGACCCTCAATGTACATGACATGGTGATTCTTAAAAGAGAGTGTATATTTTTTTTTCTCCCTTGAGAGGATTTTTAAAGGCTTGATAAATACTGTTTCGATGGATGACTGGGCCCAAGCTTACCATTTTCTATTTACTGCCTAGACTTTGCAGTAATTACAGTTTTGATGAAATCCTATATGACTTTCAGCCAAGTATTTTGTTGTATCATCTGTCTTTATTTTGGCTAGCAAAAGAAATTCAATTCTAACTACTAATCAATTGAGTTGACCATAACTTTCTTATTATCCAAGTTCCCCACCTTACATCCCAGATCAGAATATATGTACAGATATATATATATATAGTTCTTCTAAACTGTTTGATGTTCTTACCTCCTCTCTGAGCTCATACTGATCAATGATGCTTTTCAGTTTTTCTGCAAGCTCTGTGTTCTCCTGACAGAGCTTCATATTTCGCTCACTCTGCTGCTCTATCTGTGCCTGGATATCTGTCAGGGTAGTTTGAAAATGACTTGTGATCTCCTTCCTTTTCTCTTCTTCCTCACGTGCCCGCTGGAGGGTTTCCTCCTATAGAAGAAATCAAAATATTTTATTATGGTAATTTAAAGCCCTGAAGGTTTAAAGAACTCAGGACAAGGTCAGCAAAAGGAGACTAGTGAGCAGAGTTAAGTGGGATATTTTTTTCTCAGTTCTCTACAGCTAAAGTTGCTTAGTCCTAAAATAAATGTATGAGCACAGGTTTCAGCTGTGAGTACACAGTCTTCAGAACAGGTGTTGTGAGGACCTTGAATTGAATTTGATCTTGGTGATGAATAGACTTGTTTTAAAGTTGATGGGTCTCCTACTGAGTAAATGAATGGCAGGGATTTCTGACAAACACACAGCCACATGGTTTTGATTTCTTGGTTGTGGCCTGGAAAAAAGACCACTTGGATTTACTGATTGATGGGACAGGTCATGGGTTACTTTAGTTTGGTACAGGAAGAAGAGCAGTAGATTTAACATTTGTCTATAAAAAACATGGCAAATTAACCACATATCTCATTACTYCAGTTTTATAAGTGATCACAATGTGAACTTTTTCTTAAAAAGCCTTTCATCAGAATGCTTAAAAATAAATTAAGATGAATATAGCTCAATGGAGGCCATTTAAAAATATAAAAGGAAATCTTTCCAAATATACTAGATATTTTATTTCTGGAAGATCAATCATTGCATGTGTTACATGGGGTAATTTAAATGCTCAATGTAAATTTTGAATCTGAAAGTAATATTAAGTTTAAAATCTCTTTAATTCTAAAATTAAACCTATAATTTCCCTTTACTCTTTGTTAACATTGAAGAATTGGAAATTAAATTTTATATTATTTCTGTTCTTTTGTCCTAAATCAGAACTTTCTGTTTATTTCTAACCACTAACAGTGTGCCCAAATTCTCTCTACATCTGTATTGAGAATTGTTTGCTTTGTGATTGTTTCTCTCATTCTTTTAGAATAAAAGGGTTTGATCTTGCTACATCATACCAAAGATAGAGACACACTACTGACAAATGATACAGACATTTTAGGATTCCATTCAATTCTGATTAATTGTTAATATGAAAGCTTGCTTCATTGTTGGCAAGTAAAATTACATGGCAGTTATCTACCAAGTTCAAATTATATAATAGGAATTTTAAAAAGAAATAATTATTTTAGCAAATGTAATTGCATGAATCTGTATTTTGATAGAATAATGTGGTCAAAATAAATACTGATCCTAAAAATATATGCAATTCATTTCATCTTTCTTTTACAATATTAACACATTTCCTAACTCTAATATAGCCGTCTGAATAATAATTTATCCACATCATAAACCTATATCAAGCAACAACTTCTCAGGGATATTGTAGAATATATTTGTACTTCCTAATCTGAGGAAATTAATCATCTGAGATATGACTTCCCTGARTTTTATATACTAATGTTTACTATATGTATTTTACTGAAAATTATTATGACTGTCAGTTAAGAGCAGTTGAATATACATATAATAGTGATTGTCACCTCATTGCTCCTTATATATTTACAAGTCAATAAGCTTTGAATTATAGAACTAAAGACAATGATCAGAATTCATTTGCATTTATAAATATCCCAGCCATATTCATTCCACAAATGAATGAGTAAATGAAAGAACCATCCCAGACTACCCCAGAATTCTTGAGTTTTTCCCAGAAGATGGCTACTGAAAGTGCATTAAACACATGTCAAATCATCATAGCACTCCACAAGTGGCATCTTGCATTTTTGTATTATATTGTTCTTCAGTTAGACAAAAGTAAATCTAGGAAATCTTTTAAAATTTGAGTTTTTCATTGATTAATAATTTTCAGTCATTTGAACAGTGACTTAGACAAACTTTTCTTTCTTTATTAAGCACATTTTTTGAAGTGAAAATCAATAGTACAAACAAATTTGAGGGACAAAGCCTGAAACAAACTTTGTAGGCCTCATTGTGCATYTTAGAACTAGTGCCATGCCTGGTACATAATCCATAGATATGTAATAAATGTTTATTTAATGAATCAGTAAATGATTAATTTATGTACAGACATCTGAGTAGCTTTGACTAGTTGATTCCTATAGTACTTTTCATATTAAAATTCTGCAAAATGCTGACAACAAGTGCTACTTATTTCTTTACCTAAATCATGTTCCTTAAAGCATTCATCTCTTACTAAGAAGTTTTCAATATAGTTTGAGACTTAGGTTTACTGCTTTAAACTTAGGTAATATTTTATGGAAACAAGATCATGTCTCAGAGTTTTACTGGTCTTTTCAAAATTATTCTAAATTATGAGGTTTTATGTGTGTGTTTAATTCACTGAATAAGGAATTTTTTTTTTTTTTCAGTGCGGGGATTGAACCCAGGTTCTCACTCATGCTAGTAAGCACTCTACTACTGAGCTACATTCCTATCCCTTTTTATTTTACTTTATTTTGAGACAGGGTCTCAGTAAGTTGCTCAGGCTGGCCTCAAACTTGTGATCTTCCTGCCTTAGCCTCCCAAGTAACTGGGGTTATAGGCAGGCACAACCACRTATGGCAGAGAAGCAATTTTAATAAAAAATAGTAAAAGTTCAAATTTATAGTGGTAGAAAGACCTGGCTATACATTCTCTTTCTATGTCTTCCCAAGCTTCTACTACATAAAATTTAGATTCAAGTACTGAATAATATGGTCAGGGAAACTCAAACCAAGTTGAATCTTCTACAGATACCAACTATAAACTCTGGGCAAAATGCAAGAAACAACTACTTAAAGGAACTGGAGGGTAAAAATTTTGTATATAATCTTAGTTTCATAGTTATTATAACTGTAAGCTTGAGGGAAGACTGTAGTTGACAGCAAAATGAGATAGGAAAAACTTCCAGAGAAAGCCAACATACCATCTTTCGGGTCTGCAGGAGTGAAGAGTTCTGGGCAACTATAGCCACTGAAAGGTAAGAAGGAGATTCCCAGGGAATAGAGAGGGATAACCCTAAATTCTGTAAATAAACACTGCCCAGATCTCTGACTGACCCTGAAGTGTACATGTGCAGGATAGAATTAAAGCAATCTAGCTAAGGAAAAAAGAACTAAAATTGAATTTTAGTTGCTGTCCAAGAGGCAAAAGTATGTTTTGATTCTGACCAAATTAATTAGTTAAAAAATAATTTACATTCTTCATAGGAGTATAGTAGAATCCAGACTCTTTACAATATTAGTCACAATATCCAGGATACAATTGACAATGGCTTACATGAAAAACCAAGAAAAAAGTGGCTCAATCTCAAAAGAAACAATAATCAGAGTAGGCCTGTTCTATAATGACTCTGATAGAGAATGAGCAGGGGAAAATTTTAAAGCAAGTATTAAGACTATGCTTGAAGACATAACACTATCACAGTGAATTTTAAAAAAATGGAAAACCTCAGTTGAGAACAATAATTTATAAAAATATCAAGCAGAAATTCTGAAATTAAAAATTATTAAATCTGAAATTTAAACGTAACTGGATGGATTTATAGAATAGAAATGGACAAAGGAAAGAATCAGTGAATATGAAGATAGATCATTAGAAACATGTAATCTGGAGATAAAAGAGAAAAGAGACTCAAAGACCTGTGGGACAATATCAAGTGCTCTAACACCCATGAAACTGATCTCAAAAGGGAGGGAGACAGAGGAGGGGCAGGAGGAGGAAAAAGAGGAGATGAGAAAGAGAAGGGTGAGATAGTGAAAGAGAGAGAATGGAGTAGCAAAAATATTAGRAGAGATAGTGACTGAAAAATACCCAAATTTTGTGAGGAAAAAATATATATATACAAAAAAACTCAGCAAATATCACACCCGATATATATGAGGAAAACCACTCCCAGACATAAAGTGGTTAAAGTTCTTAAAACCAAATAGCAACAGAAAGACTGTGAAAGTAGCCTGATAAAAGTGACATATCACATGTAAGGGAACAACAACCCAAATTATTATTGATTTCCATCAGAAATTAATGGAGGCTAGAGTACAGTAGAACAGTTAAGTAAGGATGAAATTAAAAAAAAAAAAACATGAACAAATCTTATCAACACTGAATTCTATATCCAATGAACACTGTCTTCAATGATAAAAATAATGACAACAACAATAACAAAACATTTTTAAACATAAAAGACTAAGAGAATTGATTGCCAATAATGARTAGTGAAGGAGTTCTTCAGGCTGAAAGAAAGTGATAATAGACAGACAAGAATGGTAAATGTCTAAGTAAAGAAAAAAGACAGTTTTTGCCTTTAACTTTTAAAGGAATATATACGATGGTTAAAATAAAATTATAACATTGTCTCATGGGCTTTATAAATGTATATTTTATATATATATATATATATATATATATATATATATATATATACATCAATCATAGCTTAACATAGTGAAAGTAAATGGACATATTTAGTTGCAGTGTTTCTACATATTATTCAGGCAGACTCTAAAAAGTTAAAAGTGTAGATTGTAATTACAGAGCAAGTACTGAAGATAAGTGCAAAGAAACTGGGCACAGTGTTGCATGCCTGTAATCATACCTACTCTGGAAACTGAGGTGAGGAAGATTACAAGTTCAAGGCCAGTCTGGACAACTTAGTGAAACTCTATCTCAAAATAAAAAAATTAAAAGGGGTGTAGTTCAGGTAAAGTGCCTGGGTTTAATCCCCAGTTCTAGGAACAAYAACAACAAAATACTGCAAAAAGGTATAATTAAAAAACACAAGAGATAAATGAAAATGTTTTCAAGAATATTCAAATCATCCTAAGGAAGGTAGAGAAAGATCAGAGGAACRGAAGATAGGTGGCAAGTACTAAACAAATAATACAATGGTGTCTACAAATTTATCCAGCCACATCAGTATTTACATTATATGTTAATGGACCATTACTTTAATTAAAGTAATGAATGAAGAGAAGCATGGTACCTACAGCTACATAGTATCTATAAGATATGTACTTTAATTTATAGACCCAAGTTGAAAATACAGGAATGAAAAGAGATATCCCTGGAAAACAATTAAAGAACACCTGAGTGGCTATATCGATATCAGATAATATAAATATCAAGATGAAGATTATTACCAAAGGACATTTTCTAATGTTAAAGTGGTCAATTCATCAAGGAGACAAAATATTCATAAATGTGTATATATCTAATATAATTCTTTGAGACACATGAAGAAAGAATAAAGTTAAAAGTAGAAGACAATTCCACAGAGTAGATTTTTGACAACTATTGCTCAGCAATGGGACAAAAATTCAGAAAAGACATAAATGACCTAAACTTAATGGTTACCTAAGGAATGCTATATTAACATTCAGTACTCATAGTATGTTCATCAAGATAGACAGTATGATGGGCTATATAAATTAAACAATACTTGTAAGTAACCTAGAGGTTAAAGAAAAAATCAGAAGGGAAGTTAGAAAATATTTTGAATCTGCATCCTGATTTTGGCACTGAAAATATTCATGACCTTGGACAACTGATTTGGATTGCTGAGTCTCAGTTTCTTCCTCAGTGGAGATATTAACTTTCACAGCATTATTGGTGAAGATCAAATAAAAGAACAGACATACAACACTTAGCACAACTCCTGGCATAATAAAAGTATGTAATTTTATTGTCCATGATTGTAAGCCATGACTGAGGGTGTACAGGCATTCCTCTAGGGGTTTCTGTTATTCTATCATTCTGCCTTTGAATGTTCCCCAGAGGGTCCAAGGCAGATAATTCTCTCTTTTAATCTCTTTCTTGATACGTTTCTTCACCTTATCTGATTTAGTTGTATCTCCTCATTACATAATTGTACTGTAAATTGGAAGAATTAATGTAAACACAGAATACTATCACTGGAATACATATATTGACTTGAAGATTGTTATGGTTTGGATATAAAGTGTCCTCCCAAAGCTCATGTGTGAGACAATGCAAGAAGAGGTTTAATTATACCTCTTTGCAGTATTTTTTTTCCCCTAGAACTAGGGATTGAACCCAGGCACTTTACCTGAACTACAGAAGATTTAGAGGAGAATGATTGTGAGATTCTTAACCCAATCTGTGAATTAGTCCCCTGATGGGATTAACTGAGTGGTAACTGCAGGCAGGTGGGGAGTGGCTGGAGTAAGTGGGTTATTGGCAGGGGGTGTACCTTTGAGGGATATATTTTGTGTCTGGTGAGTGGAGTCTCTCTCTGCTTCCTGATCATCATGTAAGCTGCTTTCCTCTGCCACATTCATCTGGCATGCAGTGCTGTCTTACCTTGAGCCCTGAGGAATGGAGCCAGCCTCCTATGGACTGAGACCTCTGAAGTTGTGAGCTCCCAAATAAAGTTTACCCCCCTCTACAATTGTTTTTGTCAGGTATTTTAGTCACAGCAATGAAAAAGCTGATCAAACCTAGGATAATGTTCCCATCTCCAGGCCCCCATCTATTTTAGGTTTCTGATAGTCCTAGTTCAATCATTGAAAAGATGCYAGAAGCTCATCTCCTCAGACTTGTCATTTGAGAGTTAAGAGTTCATCACACTGGACTTSCATTTCCAGGTATCAAAAACAATTTGGAGTACACAGAACAACTAGTCTTTCCTTCCCCCACCCCCAACTCATTGTGCAAACTAAACAAGGATTTTTGTGTCTTTAGTTCTTAAGGTATCTCCTTTTAAACACACTTAATAATAACTACCTCACAGGAACATTGGTGTCTAATTAATTACCATTTGTTAACTGCTTTGGGATTTTCCTCTGGAAAGGGAAATGTGGGWACAGACAGTACTATCATCGYGAGAGCCCTGCATCGTGGTTTATTGAATGGAGGAAGTGTCTGCACATAATCAAATTAATCACACTGCTAGGGGCTTATGCTGTAATTATTGAAACTCATGAAGTCTGAGGAAAGCAATCAGTCTATTATTTTGAGATTGAATAATTAAATCCAGAGAGCCTCAGCGTTTTTCCAAGTATCTTCTTTTCTCAGTTGACATTTTGGATCTCAAACTCACTTTATTGTATCAACTAGATTTGTGTCTATTTATCTCATGTCATGCAGAATTCATTATAAAATAAAATGAAGAATTTTTACAAATATTTTAAAGTAATCTAGGACTACCCCCCCAAAACAAAACAAAATAAAACAATATCAACAAAAAAATACTCAACCAAATAAGAAGGTAAGGGAAATAGCACTTATTAAGGGTCTGCACTGTGTTACGTCTGTGAGCACCACACACATAGGATCTAATTTTTCCCCAAACACATGGTGAAGCTGGGATAATCACCATTTTATGGGTGAGGAAACAAGCACAGGGAGGTAAAATAACTTATTGGAGGTCATAAGCGATCAAATGGCAGAGCCAGTATTTGAACATACTGCTCTGATTCTAAGACTCATGCTCTTTTCACAAGTAGTAGTAACTGCCCATGTSAATGTAGCCTTCAAGAAAGTGTGTCATTCTTTTTTCTTTTTTTTTTTTCTTTTTTTCTTCCTCTAAGCCAGTGTGACACATACCTTCAGTGTCTTATTGTGTCTCTGCAGCTCTCGGCACAGACTCTCCAGTTTGCTCCGAGCCAGGATAGCTCTGCTGTGTTCGCTTTGTAATTGGTCCTTTTCTTTCTGGATTTGCATCTGTTTCTTTTGTAGGACCTTTAACTTCTTTTGCTCTGTGYGATGTTCATCCAGCTAGGCATGGGGATACGCATGAGAAAGAAAATAATAGAAACTGGGTAGGAATGCTTTGCAGTTGATAGAAAAGGATAAAATCTAGAGACCATTCTGTGGTTGTTCAGAAACTTTTTTTTTTTTTTTTGCTATTATCTGTCCCTCTGGAAACACATGAAATTCACAAATGTTGCCTTTGTAATATTTGTAGATATAGTTTTTAGAGCATATTTATGTTTTACATTACAATTAGTAGTATCTTTTTACTTTGAATTTTTTTGATAGGTCTAAAAATATTTTTCTTGAGTTTATTTAGTAATGCCAGAGACAAGATAGAAAGACATATCTTAGAATCTGGAAACTGGCAGAATTCATAGCAAAACCTGTATTCGTACAATGGTCAACAGTTTGTCTGCTTGGATTATGTTTCGTTTTTCACAAAACAAACTTCCAGTGCTATTTTTAAAATAGGAAAGAGAAAAGTAGTCTTCTGGTAAGTAGAAGATAAAGTTGTCTTCTTTATAACTTTGGACTTTGAGTGTAGGAAGGAGGAGAATAGAAAGTATCCCTCAACCACCTAAGGACTGACAGTTTTCCACCATAGCATTGGGAATAGCCAGTGCACAGCTCAACAGCATGAAAGGCAAGTTTCTGTAATTTACCCTGCTCCCCACCCATCCCTGCTCACCCACTCCATGCCTGCGGAAAACACATCATGGTGCGTGTTATTTGCGAACCCAGGTAAGCTCTTCTCACGCCCCTCTAGAAACTACAACTAAACTACCAGGAGTGGCTTGTGAAATGAAACCAGTTTACCCCTGTTCTTTTCATCTTGGAATGGTAAAATTTTAGATAGGGTTGACAGGTGAAATACAGGACACTCAGTTACATTTAAATTTCAGATGAATAAGGAATAAATTTTTAGTATAAATATATCCCAAAAACTGGTGGGATACACTTTTGCCAAAAAAAAAAAAAAGTTACAAATGAAATGTAAATTTAACTGTGTGCACTGAATTTTTATTTGCAAAATTTGGAAGCATTATTTTGGAATCCTATCTCAGTGGAGGAGTATGGGGACCAAACTCTACAAGCTACCAGAGAGAGACTAGCTCAATTGGTTGAGGGCTTGTCTCACAAGCACAAGGCCCTGGGTTCAATCCCCAGCACCAAAGAGAGAGACAGAGACAGAGACAGAGACAGAGAGAGACACTAGCAGATTCTAGGAGGATTCTAGGAATGTCAGTCTGAAACTGACCATTGGTGTGGTCATGTTGAAGCAGCATCCCTTTTTCTAAAGATCATTGCTTAGTTAGACTCAGTTCTCTTAGGGTCTGAATAGAGTTTAAGCTAGGAAGGTACTAGTCCTAATAATGACCTTGTTGGCTAGCAGAAAGGAAAAGCCCTGGAGAGCCCTTGGTGCTTCTAGACCCCAGCTGTTCCTGGTGTCTCAAAGAGCTTGACACAAATGGGTACAAATTTCACACAAGCCATGATCTGTGCCTCAGTTTCCCTCTTTTGAAAAGACATTTGTGTTTTCTGAGCTACATGAACAGCACTCTATCACAATTTCTTCAGTTTACATTTTGGTTTTTCCTCCCTTTCTCCTCCTACATTGAAATAACTATATATAAACCCTCAGTTAAGCCAAAGATATGTGTATTTGATATTCTACCTTCATACTCATGTGCAATTTCTACTTAGTAGTGGGAATTAGCATTGGAAAAACACAAGAGCCATGCTACTAAAAATACTGATTGCCGCCTTGGAAAGGCAGTGATCTTCTATTATGTTTCTCATGCTAAACTTCTGTTTACAGAATAGATGTTGTTCTTTCAGGTCACACCATTGTTATTAGACAGTGGTGAAATTTCTCATGCTTATATTTAAATTTTAAATGATATATTCTTCCTTTAAACTTATATATTATTATTATTGTTAACACTATTATGATTTAGACTACCTTTTAAAGGTTAAATCATATTACAGGGCTTCTCAGCTTCATCACTATTGACACAATGATCCACATAATTTTTTATTGGGCAATATCTTGTCCATTGTAGGTGGTTTAGTACCATCCTTGGCCCCTGTGCACTATATGCTAATAATTCCATCCCACTTTGACTTTCAAGTCTATATTCAGACAGATGCCTGTTGTCCCTTGATGGACAAAACTTCCCATTTGGAGAACACTGTCCTATGTGGCTTTATGTGAGTGTCAGAAGGAAGGTACCCTGCATGTATTTTTTAAGCTGGAAAAGAGATGATTTGTGCTTACTCATTGACTATTTACCATTTTAATTATACTTCAAGATCATACAAATCTAAAATTTAAATATATTTTATTTGATCTAAGTGAAACTTCTTTTTAATATAAAATCTCTTAACTTTCTGATCTTTTTTTTTTTTTTGAGAATTTCAACATTTTATTTTTCAGTTATTGGCGGACACAACATCTTTTTTGTATGTGGTGCTGAGGATCGAACCCGGGCCGCAYGCATGCCAGGCGAGCGCGCTACCGCTTGAGCCACATCCCCAGCCCCCTTTCTGATCTTTTTAAAAAAATTAGTATGTGGATAATTTTACTGAAATAATTCAGATTTATGTGAATGCATATGAATGCATGGAACTTCTTAATAAATGAAAGTAAACATATTGCAACTAAGTCAATCTTAGCTAAATGCTGGGTTTTGTGATTTAACAATGCATCTAAGCATGGTTTTTCTGTACAATCGTAACAGGCATATAGAATTTTATCTGCAATCTCTCTTTTAAAAAAGTAAAATTAATACCAAATGCTAAATTAGAATTGCTTTAATGATGTTGTTTTAACTACCTAAAAGTTAAAAAAAAAACTTGCAGAAACTGTTTTTCTTAGGCCATTTCTTAATTTAGTCATGTGTCCTTATTTATTAATGGACTTACCCTTATTTATTAATGAATACAATGGTGGATAATATTACAGGATTCAGGCTATAAGGATGAGTGAACTAAAGTGTCAGTTTGATTCAGAGCTTTGAAATTTATGATTTATTCCATGTTAACAATGATATTTCAGATGTTTTCTACATTAATATCCAAATTAATGAGCAAGGAAATAGGCTCTCTTCTCCAAGTAAAAAATTAAAATTCTTCATGTTTTTTCCATCCTGAAAAAGAAATGTAATGAATTTTGGAGAGCAAATTTTTTCCTTACTCACTTTTTCTGGGAATGATATTTGGAGTTTTAAAGTTTGTTATAGGAGAATAAACAAATGCCAAAGTATAGTAATTAAGGTTTGAATTGAGTTAGATTTCCTAGCAAATAACCTCTGCGGAGATGACTGCTTGACTAGGAAGATGAGTGGGTTCAGGTGGTCGTTGGGGCCAAGGTGAACAACCCTGACTCGTGGAGGAATCTTGGTCAGGCTGGAGAAGTGATTCTTCTCCAATACACACACTACTGTGGTAATGCAGCACTGTAAGTGACATCCTGTGCTGATTCAGAATTCAACCCAGTAAAGCCAAGTACAGACGGGGCTCTAGAAACCAAACAAGAATGGCCTTGGTATGAGTAGGTAGGTTGAAGGGGCAGCCGGAATCTATTTCTTTCTAGTTTCTTATTGAAACTAGAGATATTGCCCTCACTGAGCCCTCCTCTTTTCTCTTATTGGCCAGTTTTAAAGCCTGAGAAGAAGATGCCCATTCAACAACTCTTACATAACTTGGTTTGGCTTCCCTTGATTCTGGGGCCCTGTTGAGAGGAAGGCTGCCAGGGGAGGACCTGGAAGTAGGCACAGAACAATTCTCATGGAACGATTACTTTGCTATTGTAGGGGAGGAGAGAAGAAGGAGAAATAGAGAAATGAGCCATACCAGACAAGAGTGTGCCATAAACTGAGGGGTAGCATTAATTCAACTCTCTGCCTTCCTTTCTTTGTTCCTTGGAGATATGACTGAATAATAGTTTAAGATTTAATTATCCTTATGTTGAGTATATTTCTGCTTTATTCTAAAGTTTAAAAGAACTTAAAAATATCCATGATTTTCAATTATCTGTACTTTTCTCTCATTCCCAAAATTATGCACATAGGTGAAGGTAGATTCTGATTCTATCCTTTTTCTTTCTTTTACTGTTATTTATCAATTTTTCTTTTCCTTAAAAAATTCTTTTATGAATTTTAGTTTTGATATTGCTGATCAAAAAAAAAAAGAGAGCCAATCAAAGATCTTACCAATTCAGCATACTTCTTGAGTAAAAAATCAAGCTTTTCTTCAGGTGTCTGTAGCTTGTTCAGATTTTGCATTAGCAAGTTGGCTTCTTTGCCTTAAAAAAGGGCATAGAGGAGTGTTACTTAAAAAATAAGTGTTGAGCTTGTAGTTAGTTGATATGGACTGCTATCTCAGATTGGTTACTTGCAAGTTACTACCAACATTGACCAAGTTACTAACCTTTCTAAACCTCAGATACAATTTTCTTTCTTTCTTGGGTGGGGGGAGATATTGGGGATTAAACTCAAGGGCACCTGACTACTGAGCTACATCCCCAGCCCTATTTTGGGTTTTATTTAGATAGAGGATCTCACTGAGTTGCTCAGTGCCCACTATTGCTGAGGCTGGCTTGAACTCATGATCCTCCTGCCTCAGCCTCCTTTTCCTATACAAAAGGATGACACCTACCTCATAGAGTGAGGATTATGATTAGCTGAGAAGTTTATGAAAAATTCGTGCTACAAGTTCATGTCATGGTAAACTCTCAATGTTTGCTGTAAGAATAATGCCCAAATTTTCATCTTAAGAATTCATTCTTGTTACTTTCTGCCTTGTATTCTTAATATTCAAAAGACACATTATGTATCAAAATACTGACTTATGAAAGAATAAATCACCTATTTTCCTACTTTCATAAGAAGCAAAACAACAAGTCAAAATTCCTGGTTAGCATGAAAAGGCCAGTATCAACACATGGAATTGCTAAAATTAAAATTAAAAGCAGAGAAACTTGACAGTGTAGTGTGCTCATTTACTGATCCCCGTCCATATTCTTTTAGTATCCCTTTCTCCTCTATTTGCTCACAAACCTGTTCTATGATCATATATTCTATCATATATAATGTAAACTCTAATCATATATCCCAGAATAAGATCAATATAGAGGAAAACATTCGAAACATGGAAGAACTTTTCCACAGTTCTTTTTTTGTCTCCATGATTCTGGACTTGGGCTTCTCAGGGCTTCCTTTGCCCCACCCAGGCCTTATTAATCTCTGATGGCAGTTTCATTTTCTGCTCACAATTGGACTTGGTGCTACATTTTAAAACTAATCTGTCCATGATTATTTAACAGGGATTCTCAGGGTTTTCAAAGTGGGGTGGTCAAACCATCCAATAGAGCCCATGTTTTCTGACACAAATTCACACTAGAATGTTAACCAATTTTGACAACCTATTCCTCAAGAACTGACATTTCATCTTGGCTAGAATATCTGCTTCCATACCGGACAGGCAAATGTTTGATGGAATTAGGGTTGCCAAGAGGAACTATGGGCATGGAATATGTACTAAAAAATTATTAACTGTTAACCTGAAATTCAAAGTTTACTGGGCATATTTTATTTTTATTTACTTAATCTGGCAACCTTACATGAAATTTAAGAATTTTAGGTCTAGAAGAAATTTCAAAGACTATCCAGACTAACTGGTTTACTTTTATAGATAAAGTATCTAAGACTCAGAAAAAAAAAACAAAGTTATATAATTAGTGCTGGCATGACCAAGGCTTGAATCCAAGGTTACTCTTCTTGTTCTAAATCACTCACTGTACTGAAATGGGGAATTTGGATTCTAGGGAAACCCAGAGAAATAAAAGAAAATTCTTTTGAAATAAAGAAAAATGACCTCATTCCCAGCCATTAGTTTTTATCTGTCTTTGCCCAGTGAATTAATTCAGATTAGAGACACAGCCTAAGACAAGGGAGAAGGTGTGCGTGAGTGGGGCCTCTCATCTCCTCATTTATAGCCTGTGGCATGATGCTTTCCTTTGCAATTGATAGTCACTGCTGCCCCACCCTTACTGGATGCATGATTTCAGTTACTCCTCTAGCATCTGGGATGATCTGCACCTTGACTTTAGACCAGGAAATTGAACAACTACTCTCCGGGTTATTGTTACTCATTAAAGGCAAGTGATTACAGTGGATCAGGCCTAGCAGTGTTTGGCCAATGGCAAGTGCTCAGTAAACATTGATAATAATAGGATAAAACAAAGCCAACTATCTCACACTGGTATCATGTGAATACTACAACTAGAGGAAAGACAGGTCTTATTCTCACCTGTGACTTTCAGTGTATGCTGGGACACCTCTCATTTTGAGTACTGACATATGAAATCATTACTTGTTTTATTTGGTGGAGTTAGAAACAATTGAGTGAGTCCAGTGGTTCTGTCTCCCCAATTAAGAATCTCTCTCCTTAGGTTTTGTTTTCAGTAGCTATACAGACAGTCTATTGTTAATATTGTTTATTTAACCTTTGTATTCATTAAGGTTCTTTCTGCTCTAAAAGTCATTATTTTGTATAGAAGGTTAACATTCAGATATATCAATACACCTTTGAAAAAACAAATACACCTTTAACAAAACAAAAAATTCAACAAATTTGAGATAGAGTATGTGTCCAATTTATAAATTTGTGACATCAGAGACTTTAGGTTTTAAACTTGAATTGTTTTTGTTTGACTAGGATGTTGTGTGCATAACAAAGGAAGAGGGGAATAGCTAGAGAATTGCTTATCCTCTAAGAAAAGCTATAATTACATTCCCATGGAAACAGGGTCATTTGCTGACACAGTTAGATACAGGGCAAAAACAACTGACTTGACTGTGAAACATCGTATCAGGAGGGGGATCACCTGCCTCCTCTTTGATGTGTCATTCCACAGCAAGCTTTACTTCTTCCCCATTACAGCTGGGGAAGGCATATGGCTACCACACTGCAAAAGGCTCTGTTTTGCCACAATAAAACCCACTATTCTATGTAATTAATATGCACCAAGAGGAAACATAAAAATTAAAATTAAAGAGCAGGAAAATCCTAACAAAGAAAATGCTAGGTTGGATAGAAGTCTACATGAAAGTTGAACCACCTGTGCAGCTAGAGTGTCACATGTGGCTGTGGTCACTGGCACAATTGTACTGGAATCTGAAGGTATTATTTTCACATCAAAGAAATTAAAAATCTTAAATTAAGACAACTGAACCAGCTGTAGCAATGTGGGTCAGAATTTTTCCTGAACTTCTAGCATAGTAATGATTGTTTATACTAAATATAGTGGACAACTTATGTAGATTTGATGTATTCAAACTTCCAAAACTATGTTTTGTCTTTTCCAAAATTATTTTTTTGATCTTTGGGACCAAAATTTTGTCTTGAATACATATTTGTGTGCCTTTGTATCCTCTTCCTGGTTTCCATATGTTGTGATCAAAACTTAACAACAGTAATATTATAAACATTCTTTAAATGTTAGACCCAAATTGACATTTCAATATTAATTGTCCCTAATAATATAATTTTAAAAATAACATATGTAAGACAAATAATTACTGAGCATCTATGCATATCTTTTCAAGGAAATAAGYTTCATATATCTAGAGAATAGGAAGGATAATATAGTTAAATTCACACTGGACTAAAAAGAGGAGACATGAGTTCTAAAACTGACTCTGTCATTGTTGAGCAACCTTTCTTTGCATTTTTTATACCCTCAATTTTCTTGTTTATAAGATTAGTGGGTTAACTCAATGGATTCTGAGTTTAGTCCTAGAGTAACTTTTTTTTTTGTCAGACTCCTAAACTCTCTGCATTTTAATTTCCCTGTGTATAAAATTAGTTGACTAGATGGATTCTGAGCTCAGAATGGACCTGTGTATCAGCTTTGTTTTTCTCCCAGGTTTATACTTCAAACCTATGACTTCCTAGTCAGTCAGTTATAACCAAAGTATTAGAAGGTATATTATATATTATGATTGTCTTAATCTTATTATTTTGTGGTACTTTTGCAGTCCATGTAAGGTTGTCAAAGAAATGATTACTAAATCACTATGACCCTGAAGGGTGGGGTGGGGAAGAATGGGGGATACTTTAGATATTAACAAGACACTTGTGGAAACTTAAACATAGTACCTTATAATGGGGAATCTTTTTGTTTGTTTGTTTGTTTCTTTCTTTTTCTTTGGATGCCCAAGAGAAAGAAATTCTACCAGCTAAAGGAATTTTTAAATGCTCCCCAACTGCTTTAGTGTGGGTGCATTGACTGTGGAGAATAAGCATCCTCTATGGTAAAAGCAAGTCCTTTATGTTTGGCTTTAGACACATTTCCAACTTACTCAGGGTGTCCTGGGGTAAAAAGGTCTTGCTGGTTTAATAAGTTTAGGAAATGATGGAATCTATGCCCATCACTATTTGGGATTTTCATTGTGTATGTGTATATTGGAGATCAGAAAATTCTGGCCTTGAGGAAACTGTTTAATTTTGTCTGAAAAATCATATATCCTCAATAATATACTTTGGAAAATTTTGAATTATGGAGTCAGGACATTTCAGTGTGTCAAAACTACCAACAAAGCAACTAATATCTGATAATACTATAATTAAAGACTTTAATTAAGAATGAAAGCAAAGTTTAAGGGTAGACCTTTAAGTATGCATTGAATGCTTATTAAAAAGAAGTTTTGATAGGGCTGGGGTTGTGGCTCCATGGTAGAGCACTTGCCTAGCATGTGTGAGGCACTGGTTCAATTCTTAGTACCATAAAAAAAATAAATAAAATAAAGACGTGTGTCCATGTATAAGTAATACAAATATTTTTTAAAGAACTTTTAACAAAAAGGTTCTCGAAGAAGACTACAGCCAGAACTTTGTTTTCTCCAATAGGGTAGAGGAATCCCTTTCTGGAGCCATAGCAACATTGCTTCTACATCTACTTGTGTCAAAATTGTCATGGTGCCTTGACCCCCACATTGGACCTACCAGTTCTAAATCTCCGAATTTTGACCAATTCTTCATTTGGTTCTAATGCAAAGTTAAGTTTGAAAAACCATTGATGTAGAAAAAGTGCAGCGTCATTTAATTGATAAGCAGTCAAGAAATCTCCTAAAATAAATAACTGAAATAAGTTTAAAGTGGTTATTATTAGTATAGGTTTGCCTAAAAGTGTCTTAATTTACTAACAAAAATAATACTGTGTTTGACAAAACATGCAAATGATTTTGAATGGGATGGCACAGAAAAGTGCTTAGCTCCACAAGGGTGATTAGAGTGTGTCTCTGAGTCACAAACATTGATTCTAGTCAAACACATTCATTCTGAACTTGGTAACTTGTAGACAGTGCAGTACTAGAGAAACAGAATTTTTCTTATACTAAAAATAAAAAACAAAAGTATTCTGATTATTTGGTAATTGTAAGATTAAAACAAATTATGAAATAACTCATAGAATAGAAAGAAGAAGCCCAAATTGGTTACCTTGAATTTTATCCCTATTCATGTTTTTCCATCAATACAAGACACACACATGGATTCCTATGTAAGTTTTAGGATGATAAAACAAATGGTTAAAAACCATTCTGTTTAGGAACACTTGAAATTGTTCAACTCTAGGATGAGATTTTGGATACGGTTTTATGGAAACTTTAACAATGACTAATGCAAAGGGACATGTCTAAGATGTTCTGATTAGAGAAAGAAAAATCTGCTCTATAYCACAGTGTAATTTTATTATATTTCCCTATTTTCTAAAGACACTGGAATTCTTTCCACCTTGTACTTTGGAACTTGAAGCTATTTTAAAGGTATTTTTCTGGATACTTTTCATCTTTATGGTGAGTGGATCAAGTCTGTCATTAGAATGTATCTTTTAGCACTTCTTGAAAGCTTTGCAACAATGAGTTCAATCATCAAGGAGATCCTACTGCAATGGAGATTTACTTTTAAGTTTGCAGATAATAATTTGTTATTGGAGTTTGAACCCATTTCTAACTCCAGTGTCTGTATCCTTTTACTCTGTACACACTATCTTCTAGAAATGAATAAGATGTCATCACCTTTATTGATAGGTTATCCATCTAGTATAGAAGGCAGATATATAAGCAAATAATTGGGGCTGGGGATGTGGCTCAAGCAGTACCGCGCTCGCCTGGCATGCGTGCGGCCCGGGTTCGATCCTCAGCACCACATACAAAAACAAAGATGTTGTGTCCGCTGAAAACTAAAAAATAAATATTAGAAAATTCTCTCTCTCTCTCTTTAAAAAAAATAAGCAAATAATTGCTGCAGATTAGTGGCAAATTAAGGAAAGTGAGGCTAATTCTACCTGGGCACGGCATAAGAGGTGGCATTTGTAGGAAGTGTTCCAGTGAAATTCACCAGGGAAGACAGGAAGAGGAAGACAGGAAGACTTTCCATGTGCAGTAACATTCTTTCAGTACATAGCTATAAAATTAGCACTCTTATTCTTCTTTCACAGCTATCTTAGGTACTATCAATCCTTCGTGCTCTTCAAAAAATATTTCCTTTCCCTGATTTTGCACTTCTCCTATGTAACAATTAGTCTACATGTCTGCTTTCCTCTCTATACCTAAATATCCTTGACCAAAAGGCCATGGCTTATATATTTTTGTGTACCTCTCACTGTGCCTCATAAAGACCAGGCATTAAGAAATAAATATTCATTGAACAAAAGAATTAATAAGAGTTCAAGTATATATTTTCTGCAGTTGTTGACAAATGCAATTGATAACATTTCTGGTGAATTCTATGCAGTGAGAAATATTTTATATAATAATGGAACACATACTACTAAGTGATCTAATTGACACTCATTGTATATACAAACCTATCTATATTTTAATATTTTGCTTATATCTAGACTCCACTAGTTTTGCTTTAAACAATTTCTTTCTCATTCATTCATTCATTCATTCTTATAACAAATATCTATTGAACTTAAAATGTGTCATCCTCTGTTCTATGGAATATGCATCCAGTGACATCAAATACACATACACCCTCTTGAGACACTGCTTTTGAGACAAAGATCTAGTAAGGAGGAAATACATTAAGCAGATAATTTAAAAAATCATTTCAAATACCGATGAAAGCTATGATGGAAAGATACATAGTACTGTAAAGACCCAAAACAGTTAAGAATTATCTAGTGTTTGGCTAAGGAAATGCCATTTTAGTGGTGAATTGAATGATGAGTACGAGTCAAGTGCCCAAATGGCTGAATTGGGGTGGCAGTGAGGAATGTGTAGAGATTTTTAGGTAAATAAAATTGGGATATGTACAGTCCCTTGGGGAATAGAACATGACATTCAATTCTTTGAAAGAGAAGATCAGAATGATTGCAGGGAGAGTGGTAACAGGGTCACAATATTCAGGTAGAGGATGCTGAAGAGGAGCAGAGGTATGTGAGGTAAAGCTGGGACTGCTTGGGGTTAGACAATTAGGGCCTCAAAAAAATCTGTTATAAATTTTGGTTTTCTCCCTGCAAGCAATAGGAAGCCATTGAGACAGAGAGTAGATATGTAATGTGTTGAAAATTTACTTGTGCTCTATTGAAGGGAAGTGACTAGAAACTTTAGGAAACTCTGATGGAAGGTATTCTGGTAATCCAAATATGAGATGTGGCTTTTAATAAAGGTTGGAGGAAGTACCCTGTTTTAGGAATAAATAAAAGTCATGTATTAGAAAATAAGTACTTGCCTAATCCTTTTAGGATTTTCTTTTCCAGTTTTTGCTCTTTATTGCCAACAGGTTCTTTGACTATGGATGGTTCTTCAGAAGCAAGGGGTTCTCTTTCGGCCTCTTCATTGGTTTCCTCACAGTCCCCATCCTCATTGTCAGGTGCCTCTGCATTTTCAGGCTGCTCCTGTGTTTTGGCAGAGCCTTCTTTTCCTATTGTACTGGCAGCAGATCCATACAAGTTAATAATGTCTTCCAGTTGTCGATTCAACTCTTCGGAGATATCCTGAGCTCCCTTTACAGGGTGCACACTTGTTGCCTGCTCTGGTTCTTGGAGCGAGGTTGAGGAATCCTGACCGTTTTGCTTCCCCAGGCCATTTTGATTAGGTGATGATGAACTGTCTCCTGGCAGAGTTGACTCTTCAGTTGAGAGCTGTTCAGAGTGATTAGTCTCCATACTGGAAGTAGTGTCTAGTGGTAAGGACAGTTAGGTTTTACTTATTAATCCAGTTACATATTAATGGGCAGGATACTTCCCAAATAGGTACCAATTAATATGTTTTCTAAGATTTAATGACTGTACTTTAATAAACTATTGATATCACAATTAGTAAAGTAGAAACAATGGGAAGCCCTTTTTCAAATCAAGTCACATTACCCACATATTTTTTGTTTTCTGTAGCATCCCTTATTATTGATATTAACTGATTAATTTGTGCTGTTGATTTTTGTATTATTTGACATTTTGCTTAGGCCAATTTGTATCATGATTTTCTTATATAATTCTGTATAGAGTTACAATCATTGAAGATACAGGATATATATGTTTTCCTTCAAACTTAATTGTCAAGAGCCATTGTTCTTATTAAAATCATTCATAATAATAACATCCCTAAACTCTATTTTGATTTGTAAGTCAAGATTTGATTAGTATGCTTTGATGTAAATGCATCACTATGCTACTATAGGAGATATTTCTTGGTTTTCTAGTATATGCTTTTTCCCAGATGAGCAGCATGCAGTTATCAATCAACAAAACACTTTTGGAGGATCAAACTAGCATTGCTTTTGGAATAAGACAGGGAACGAGGGAAGGTATACCTAAACCAAATAATATGGAAACATAATAATGCCTGTATTGTTAATTTCTTACATTTCTGCAATTTCCTCTTATTCCACTCTAAAAATTTGACTTTTTTTTAGAGAAGAAAATAAATCATTATTTACTAAGTCATGAAGCTCTAGGAAAATGTAATATTTTTAAAGAAATAGCAGTGCATGATAAACAGGGAAGAGATGAACTGGAAAAATAATTTAGATATAATATGGGCTGTTCGGGAACAGGCATGAAAGAGTGGGATGAAGATTCTAGAGATTCTGGCCACTATTATTTTTAGGGTTGCAATAAATTTAACTTAGTCCTTTAAGCTGTGGTGTTTTTTATTTGTAAATAATATTTAATAATGAAGATGATAATTAGCAGTATAAAACTATGGCAAGATTCTCACAATTCACAAGTTTTGCTATTCTGTTGGCAAGAAAATAAAAACAAAAACATACTATTCTCTAAACAGCACAGCTTCCTTCTCCTATTCTTAGGTGAGTAGACATCAAATGCTTGGATGACAATGGGAGGGGAAATTTCAGTGTACAGACATTACCACCCACCTATGGCTCTCACCAAATACACATTAACTTAGAAGGAAACAAGTTCACCAATTTAATTCATCAACTTGTTTATCAAATTATGCAGCCATCAGCTTCATTGTCTTGTCACTGGATTTTTTTTTTTTATCCTGACCTCCACTTAGGATGCACATTCATCTATATATAACTTTTGCCTCCTAATCTTGGAGAGATACACATAGCACCTGCTGTCCAGCCAGAGCTATTTTAAGTTCTTCTAAAAATGAATCATGGCATTTAGCAATTCATCCTTGAAACCCAAGAAAATAATTTTTAAATCAATTGAAATAGTAAACATTTGCTAGTTTAAAGCCATATGTGGCATTTCAAGTGTTGGGGAGATTATTCTAGGATGAGATAAATCTAAAATAAACCAAATCAAAGTTTAAGGCAATTACTTTAAAACTCTGTCCATATAATTTTACTGTGATTAGACTACATGCAAGTGTTTTGTTTGTATTTGATTTATTCATTTACCAGATACCATAGTCATTGAGGTTTTTAATACTTAGTTCTGTGGATATTTAACTTTAAACTCCTATTCCATATGTATTTTAAAACAGAATACTTGAGTCATTGTAAGCCACAGGACAACTTAATCCCTAAAGAGGCCTTTGTGAAAACATAGTCAAAAAATTTTATTACTTTTATAGTAACGTATTTTACAACAAAGAAATTATTTCTAGATTTTATCTTCTATAAACTTTATGGGCTCCCACCCTCCTCTGAGAATTTTTCACTTGTACAGGCAGTCCCAGCAAACTATCCCACACACCATGCCTTCCTGAGCCACACATTTTAATTATTCAAATACAACAATGGAAAGTTCTTCAACAGTTCCCTGGCAGTCTCAAAGCTGCAAGTTTGGAACACCACAAACCGCACCCTCATCTATCTTCTCACAGGGCCTGGGGGAGTGTTTGTCACACTTACCAGAAGGCAAGGAGCTAAGCAGGAAGAGAAGAGAGAGGAAAGAGGGAGCAAAAAAGCAAGTCAGAGCCGCAGCAACAGCAGGAGCAGGCAGGCGGGTGGCATTCTTACAGGGCTGAGAGAAACCACACACACACACACACACACACACACATATAAACACACACAGCCCACAAGCACAAGGAGGCAGCAGGAGGGGGTGGGGCAGGGAACATGAACATCATATGACATAGTAAGAGAGAATACGAGCAGCTGGTAGACCTTATCAGACTCTCCATGTTTTGTTCTTTTAAAAATTTAAATCCTGCTTAGCCCCCTGATGAGTGCAGTTTTTCACCATTGTCATTCTTTTGAATAGAGATCAATTTTTCTTATTTCTTGGTTTATCTCCAGTGTGGTTTATGAGTCATCATTTTTTTTTTTCCTTCTTGGGTTAGCCTAATTAGTGTCAGGTTTCTTACAGAATCATGGAGAAAGAAAAACAGTGGCATAATAAAAAGGAAGTGTCAGAGCCACCTGAATTCTGGTGTCAGTGGTATATTTGCAGAGTTTGAAATAAAAATTTAGATGGCTGTTTTGGCCCCGAGTTTTGTGTAACTTTGATGTGCATGGAAATTGGAACGATCTCAGATTTTCCTCTGGTGACTATGTTCCCATCTCAGATGAATTCTAAGAGAAGCACTCCACCATGTGCTCCTTGATGGTGGATTGCTTTCACCCTCTATAGCAGATTTTCCACACTTTTCAAGCCATCAATGTTACTTATGCTTCCTCAGAAAATGACTGTCCTCCCCACCAACATACAATGGCTTTCTCTTAATTTGTGTCTACCCTGCTTTTCTTTCTGTTTCTGGAGAATGTGTTTTCCACTCTTTTCCAAAGCCTCCATCAAGAGTTTATGCTCTGGGGATAGTGTGGGTACCGTTATGTCCCTTGCAGTAGGGCAGAATAATGCCACCACAGAGACGTCCATGTCCTAATCTCTGCAACCTGTGATTGTTACAATACATGGCAAAAGGCCTTTGCAGATATGATTAATGATCTTGAGATGAGAGTATTATCCAGAGTTGTCTGGGTAAGCCCACTATAATCACAATATCCTCATAAGTTAAGGAGGGTCAGAATCAAATGTGGGAAAAGGCAAGGAAATGCATTCTCTCCTAGACCCTCCAGAGGTGTGCAATCCTGCTGACAGAAATTGTTTAGATTTTGGACCTCTAGAACTATAAAATAATAATTTTTTTTTGCTTTAAAGCCACTAAATTTCTGGCAAATTGTCATAGCAATAAAAGGAATTTTAAAAATCCTGCTCTCAAACTTTTCCTATTTCTTCTCTAAGATGAGGGGAGACACAAGTTTTTTATATGGATGAATGAACTTAATAAACAGAGGTTAAGATAAAGAAATTGCAATGGTGATGACAACAAGGCTGCTTACTGCATTATTTGATAATAAAACTGGTAAATTAAAATTGATGAAAGGAGAAAGTACTTCCTTCTAAGTTAATGAGTACTTGTGAGCACCACAAAGTGGAGGCATTCCATAGGGAATTGTGGCAACTGACCCAATCAGATCTCTACACAAACACAAATAATAAGCCAGTGCTTCTCAAATTTAAGTAATGTACAGATTATTTTAGCAAAATAACAAATAATATTGAAAATAATTTAAAGGATTAATGTCTGACTGTGATTGAATTAAATTATTATTATTTGTACCAATATGTACCAATATGAAAACAGGTATACCCTTCTTGTGCTTACAGTTATTATAAGATATGTATTTTTTTTTTAATATTTACTTATTTATTAGCTATTGGCGGACACAACATCCCCGTTGGTATGTGGTGCTGAGGATCGAACCCGGGCCGCACGCATGCCAGGCGAGCGCGCTACCGCTTGAGCCACATCCCCAGCCCAAGATATGTATTTTTAAATGCATATTGTTTAAAAACCCTATGAAACCAAAACTATGATTCAAATGGACATAATTACTTTTATATGACAGATAATGTTTTGTTAAACCCAAATTGCTACTTCGAATGTGAATATGGTAATGACTGCTAGTCCTTTGGAGTTTTGCTTTAAAGCCACTAAATTTCTGGCAAATTGTCATAGCAATAAAAGGAATTTAAAAAATTCAGTCTATTTAAATGATTACATAAGTTTTATTCATATGACTTGTCATCATCATTTGGACTTCATTGACACTAATATATAATTACTACTAGCTATCATCTGAATGTTTTTGTCTCCCCAAGGTCATGCTATTAGGAGGTGAGTCCTTTGGGAGGTGGTCAAAGGCTAATTTACTGAAGCCCTCATGTCAGGGATCAGTGCTTTTATAAAAAAAAGTCAGAGAACTAAAAACAAAACAAAACAAAAAAAACTTCAGAGAGCAAACCCTCACCTCTTCTCCCATCTGAGATTGCAGTGAGAAGATGGCTATCTATGAGGAAGTGGGCCCCCACCAGACACTATATTTGCCTGCACCTTGACCTTGGACTTCCCAGATTCTAGAACTACGAGAAATAATTTTCCATTGCTCATAAATCATCCTGCTCATGGTATTTTTGTTATAGTAACCTGATCAGAGTACGACCAAAATGGCAGCTACTCAGATGATGGAGAATAAGCTCATAAATTTTAAATTATAATTCCAATAAATACAAACGTACAAAACTGTAGCTCTTAAGAATACATCTGTGGCCTGATAGGAACCCCAAATCTGGAGGAGGCTGATAAAGAAGACAAATTAATAAAGCTCAGAGTTGTATTGTGAAGTCAACCTTAAAAGAGCACAAATTATACTTCTAAGCCTTTTAGATATGGTAAGGAATAAATTAATTTTTTTGAAAATAACATTTTAATTTTAATGCAAATATTATAGGATAATACCTTTAAAGAGTCAATGATGCTAAAAGCTTGTCATAAGAAAAAAATAACAAGCTCATCCCACCACCTTCTTCCAACCTTGTTGTGCTCTCCAGAGGTAATAATATTAAACTGTTGTGGATATTTATTCTGGAACTTATTTTCTCATTTGTTAATAATGTTCATATGGTATCCTTTGGTATCCTTGGAAAATTCCAGGACACCCTCCCTTAACCAAAATCTGTTGATGCTCAAGTCCCTTATATAAAGTGGTGTAGTATTTGTATACCTTGCACATATTGTCCTATGTGCTTTAAATCATCTTAGGTTACTTTTAATACCTAATACAATATAAATGCTATGCAAATAGTTGTTATACTGTATTATTTAGGGGAAAAGGATAAAAGAAAAACTGTACATGTTCAAAGGAGTTTTTTTTTTTTTTGTTTTGTTTTTTTTAAGTGCTGGGGATCAAACCCAGGGCCTCATGCATGGTAGGCAAGTGCTCTACCTCTGAGCTATACCCCAAGCTCTCAGATTTATTTAAATGTTTTTTTCTAATCTGAAACATATTGAATTGTGGATTTAGAACAGGTAGATGTGGAAGGCTAACTATATTGCTGTCAGCTCATCAATTTTTGACATTACCAATTGTCTTGCCGTGATAATCAATGAAGATTTTGTTATTTAAACTCCCTTTTCCCAATACAATTACATCTCAAATTGTAAATTGTATTCTATGTTTTCATTATTGACATAGTGTTCACTGCTAAACTAAGCACAACACTGTGATTATAGTTCCATTCTTGTGCAACTTTGTTTTTCCTGGAGTTAATCATTAATTTTCTTTCATTTGCTTAGTAATGAGATTACTCTGTTTTTCTAAACTGCATAAGAACCCTGTAAAATTTCTCTCTATAGTTTTCCCCAAGACCAAATCTGTCAGATAATTTATACATTCTGATATGTTCTTGCCAATTTCATCCCCTTATACAAATAGTCTCAGAGCCTTGCTCTCTTCCTCCAGTCTGATCTAGAGGCCTTCAAGGCCTGTGGTACAATTGGGTGCCTGGTGCTTCCCCTGATGACATCCTGGGAATTCCCTTTAACCCTGCCCTGTTTCCTGGTTCCCATTCTTTCTCCTTCTTAGCTTACTTCCTCATTTGCTAGAATATATCCTCTGGCAGCTTTCTGAGAAAGCATATATGTGAGTCTTTGTCTGAAATGCTTTTGCCACTTATTCTTTGCTACTTATTCTTGATTGATAAGTTGGCTGAATATAAAGTTTTAGGTTGAAAATAATTTCTATAAAAATAATTATGGTCAGAGAATAAGTAATGTCTTTCTATTTTCAAATTTTTTCTTAAAAATACAAGGTCATTCTGATGATTGATCCTTTGCATATGATCTATTTCTTTTTTGCCCTCTGGAACCTTTTAGGATCTCCATCCCTAATGTTCTGAAGTTTTACAATGATAAAATTTGATGTGAATCTTTTTTTCATTTATTATGTTGAACACCTAATGGGTTTTTTTAATTTAATTTTTTTTAGTTTTCTTTTTCTTTTTTTTTAATTGGTTGTTAATTTTTAGTTACTGATGGACATAATATCTTTATTTTGTTTACTTTTTTTAAAAAGTATTTCTTAGTTGTCAATGGACCTATATTTTATTTATTTTTATGTGGTGCTAGAATCTAACCCAGTGCCTCATACATGCTAGGCAAGCRCTCTACCACTGAGCCACAACCCCAGCCCTTGCTTACTTGTTTTTATGTGGTGCTGAGGATCGAACCCAGTGCTTCATATGTGAAGTAAGCACTCTGCCACTGAGCCATAACCCTAGTTCAGACACCTAATGGGTTTTTAATCTGGAGTCTCATTTCTTTCATTTCTTTAATCACCATCTCCTATTGTCATTGTTCCTAATCCTCCTCCAGGCCTCATATCCCAAAGTCCAGAACATTTTTAGTTAAGCTTCTCAGAGAACTATCCCCAACTATTGTGAAAGGGATTTGTTTTTGTGACTTGGGATTTGGGACCCTTCATTCCTAATTCCCAATGTTCCTTACCCTAATTAAAACAAACACCCCAGGAGACATCAAGTCATTCACCCAGGCACAGTATCTTTCAACTGTGTCTCCACTTGCTGAGTGTCAACCTCAAATTCTACTCAACTCCTTCTCTGTGAAGCATACTATTTTTCTGTTGAATCATTTACCATTATATCTTTTGTTCTAGTTCTTATTCATTGTGGTTTGTGGTTTGTGGATTCAATTC